AAGATTCCAGGCAAGTCACTTCACTCTCTTGTACCTCCATGAACTGTATTCATAGGTGACCATACAGTTTATTGCTCTATTTTTTTGAAGTATTTTTGAGAGTGAAAGGGGGTGCTCTGAAGAATCCCACTGGGACAGCTAATCTTTCAGGTTCCCTCCTGCTTTAAAATTCTGTAACAATGAGAAAATAGGACCCAGGTTCCTACCACCACAAATGTATTCTGCTCCCCAGACTTAGCTGTCTTCTGCTAGGACTTGTCTATACTGGAGTTCTGTGGAGAACTGTTCAGCATATTGCTAAAAGATAGATGTAGCCACTTTCCCAGCACATAAAAAGGGTAGCCTAACCTGCGCCTGCTTGGTCATGCACTCACACACCCCAAATTCCAAACCCCTTGTGTGTTCAGAAGAAGCAGCGCTGGAATGCTGAATCCACATCAGGGCCACAGAAAGGCAGGCTTTCCTGGTGAGCAGGGCCAGGAAGACAGCAGATGCATGCGCCCCCCTGTGTTAAGAAATATAAGCCTTCCATTTGCAGCACAGGCTTATCTGCATCCCTATCAAGCCTGTTCCCCACCGGCCTGCCCCAGGCAAACAGGCAGGATGGGTGTGGTCCAGGACAGACCACGAGCTGCTCGGATTCTCTGGTGCTGGTTTTTAAATGGGCGGCTTAGAGCTTTGTAAATCACTCTGGACCACAGGCCACACTTCTGCCAACAAATTCATCGTTGCCTAGCCCTGTGTACCATCCCCATGTACTTGATGAGGAAGCCACCAGCAACATCCAAAAATTAATCTGGGTCAAGTCATCACATAGCCTTCAACTGTCCAAGTGTCCTTTGATCTAAACCATTCTACACTGAGAGAACTTGGAAATAAAAGTGAAAGGAAAATGTTCAAAGAAAAGTCATCCAAGGAAGGAATTCTGTCATTTACACAAACCTATTTTATCAGCTGTGCAAACCTGTCACTTGTTTTCAAAAACATTTTTTTGGTGAAACTCTGGCAGGAAGAAGCGTTTGATCTCCAAAGGCTGTTGCCCAATGCCAACAGCCTAATTCTTTCTCCAGAGCTGGAGTCCCAGGTATCCCAGAGGCTCAGGATGGAGCTCACCCTCAGCCTCCCCTCCCTGCTGCTGTTCACACCAATGTGTCCCTCTGCATCCCCAGGTTCCTGCTGCCAGCACACTCTGCTTCCCTACACCAATGTGCCTCTCTGCAGCCCCAGGTTCCTGCTGCTGGTAGGCTCTGCTTCCCTAGGAGGGAAGGTTGATTACATCTGGCCACGACCCTCTTCAGAGGCAGGACGTGCCACATGCAACTGCCACTTGCTGTCAAGAGCTTCAGCAATCTCAGTTTTTTGAATGGAACAGAAGGGCTATCATGAGCCCAGAGCCACAGAGACTGGGGAGCCCTTGCCCTGGATTGCAGGATTGGGTCCCCAAGGATGGAGGCTCCTGGTCACTAAGACTAGCCAAGCTGCTCTACCAGTGCCAGCCTTCTGCTCTGGAGAAGGACCCAGGTAATATTTTAAAAGCCCTATGAGCAGAATTTCTTGACATTGTCTCCACTGTAGTAACCTTAAGACAGCTCTCGATTTTTCAGAAAGGTGAATGAAAAGCAGCCACCTCCAATGAGGATGAATTTATTTAATAAAGAATGGACTAGTTCAGAAAAAGAAATCTATCAGGGCCTACAGCCTGTAGATAGTTGCCTACAGGATGTGGTTTCTACTGAAAACACACAGTCTTGGTACAGTTTGCCCCAGCAAGTTTCTTGGAATTCTGACCAGTAGGGATTATACATTGTGCCTAAAACTTTGATTCTCCCAATTGCCCCATTTAAAGATTCAAATGGTAATTATATTTATATAACATTTCAAAGCCCTCCCAGATACATTATCTTGCTAGAACCTATTTAATATACCAGGGAGGGACATAACTCATTAAGCAATTATTGTCTATTAACATCAAAACTTTAATTAGTTTTCCAGAGATGGGTAAGCAAAGCCCTGAGAGAATGAGGACTTGGAAATGGCACATTTGGATTGGAGATGAGATGGGAAACCATCCCACACATGGCCAGCTGGCCAGAGCAGAGCCAGAGGGCGCTGTGGTCCCACGCCCACGCTGCACCCATACCGATGCTGAGGAGGAGGTGAGGGACCGACAAGAAGGACAGAAGTCACAAAATCACACTTTCGTGCTTTTCCTCAGGGCTGACCTGGAAATCCTAATTTAAAAGCCCTGTAGTGCCAAATAGACTCATCCCAATGCTGAGAACTCATGCTATTTCCTGAACAGCTTGGCTGTCACCCAGAGCAGAGCTCCTGGTGGATCTGCTGAGATTCTTTTCAATAATTATAATCCTCTTGCTTATACCAGATATTATGTAGAGAACAAAAGGAAGCTTTAGTTTTGAAACATCCCTTCTCATGCGTTAGCACAATCCTTAAATAATGCACCTTTGAGGCCCTGAGTAATTCCTCCAGCTTGCCACCCTGGAGCATGACTGGGTTCCAAGAATTCTCTTGGAAGGCACTGAATAAATACCTTATCCTAGCTAGAGCTGGAACTGTGCTTTTGAGGCCCCCAAAGCAGCCTCTTCCTCTTTCTCTGAGCTCCTGTTGCTGTACTCCCTGGTCCTCCCAGCCTCACCCGGCACTGGGACTTGGTGGCCATGTGGCCAGGGGCTGTCGCTGCCTAATCTCTGGGACTTAGTGTCCTCACCTGTCAAGTGAAGGGTTTGGGTTTCACTGGTTCCCACCCCTAGATGCACATTAGAGTCACCTGGGGAGCTTTACAAACCAAAGTCAGGGCTGTACCCCGAGGGATTAATTGGTTTGGGTGAGGCCAAGTCACTAGGAGATTTTTTTGAAGTTCTCCAGGTCTGACAACCACTGGGTTAGATGATCTCTTGGGAACCCTCACAGTTCTATAAAAGTCTATGATCCTGACTGCCTGGTCCCTGTACCTTATTTATTGAATTTAATTTTTTCCAAAAATACTCATCTTTTATTTTCAGTATGTTGCATAGGCTGATTTTTAAATTATATTAAAAATTAAAATATTGTTAAAATATGGTTAAAATAAAATATTGTTAAAATTGTTAAAATATTGTTTGTTGGAGTATAATTGGCATAACATACTGCACATGTTTAAGGTGTACAATTTGATGTTTTCACATAGAAGGCTACTTCAAAAAGTTCATGGAAAAGTTGAATTAAAAGATAATACAAGGGCCGGCCCGGTGGTGCACTGGAGAGTGCGCCGCTTGGGAGCGCCCCGCCGAGGGTTCGGATCCCATGTGGAGACCGGTTCCCGCTCACTGGCTGAGTGCGGTGCGGGCGCAACACCGAGGGTTGCGATCCCGTTACCGGTCAGTAAAAAGAAAAGACAAAAAGGAAAAAAAAAAAGATAATACAAATACTTCCCTGAACTTTTTGAAGACCCCTTGTATAAGAAATGGTCACCAGAGTCACAGTAGTGAACACATCCATCACCCCCAAAAGTTTTCTATTCCCCTTAAATCCCTCAACTCTCTTCTCCCCTGCCCCCTTCCCCAAACAACCACATCTGCCTTCCTTTGCTATAGATTAGTTTGCATTTCCTGTCATTTTATGCAAGTAGCATTATACAGTACATAATATTTTTTTTCCTGGCTTCTCTTAGTACAGCTCTGGACTTTAGACTTCAAGCTCTTTGAGAACAGGGTCCACCTTTTCTTTTTCTCGTTCTCCTAGCCCTCAATTTATTTTTGCTCAGAGAAACCCCTTAATTATTATTTGCTTAATTGAAATAAGACCTTTATAAACTTATAACGGAGTTTTGCTTAGATGGCCAAGAAGTGGCTGCTGTGTTAAGGATCTTCACTCCCCACCACTTCTCTGTAGGTTCCTCAGTCAGCAGCTTCAGCCCAGCTACAAAATAATGCATGAGCTTCAACCAGAGGTCTGAATTGAGGGTCTGCGGACTTCAAGGGGCACAGAAAATGAGCATCAAGGTGTGTGTTGGGGACAGGGAAAGAGATGTGGGAGTGAATATCTGGAAAAGGTCCATGGCTTTTGCCAGATTCTTAGCCTTAATCACTAGATTCTTGACTCAAAGGGATGAACTATGGAATTAATGTCATGCTCTGTTTCCTTACAATGTCCTATATGCGATTTATGAACATGATGTCTAATTATAAATCCTCTGCTATCTGCCCCTCCCCTCTCGTCCCTCCCTGCCTCCTTCGTTTTGTTTTCTGCCTGCCCTGGTTATGCTTAACCTTGCTAAACTAAATAGACTATAGGGCGATGTCTAGTGGCAGCACTACTGCATGGGAACTTTTTGTATTCCTCTTCTCCTTCAGCCCTTCTCATCTGAGCTATGTGGTATGTTGTGCATTTTATGCAATGATTCTTATTCCATTTAACAGTTTACCCTGAGTACCTGGGTGCTACTGTATTCAAATATCACAAACCTACATTTCCTCAAAACCCCAGAGCACAAGATTCCTTTCCATCTTAAACAAGATCAATGTTTTCATCACTATAAATAAGTATTATGAGAACTAGAAGTAACAATAAATAGCATTGCAAATTCACAATCGAGCCCCCTGTACTCAATCCAGAGACACCCCCTTTTCCATCTATGTCGAACACAAAGTGTACTTTTAAAAGTTGTTTGTCTGATTTTAGATAAAAGGCTGGGAAGTAGATAGCAATAACTGGCTTCTAAATGATAAAATCATAAGCATCTCACACAGTTACACAAATTCAGAGTGTCTTTCAGAAATAGGCGAGAGCAAGAAAAACATCTCACCTGCTGGCTAAAAGACTGACATGGACTCGCCTTTGCTCCAAACTCACCTCAACCCCTTGCAAGCTTTTCACTTTTATTCTCTTTCACCTCTAAAGCTTTCCAAGAGAAGAGAACATATGGTAACTATAGCATTTTGGTTTAGTTCTACACAAGTTCGTTCCTCTGCACCAAAGGCAAAGCTCTGGAAGTTACTTACGTGGAGGTGGCAAAGGCAAGCCCTGGGTCTGGAAGCCGCGTTTGCTGATGCCAGCCTGCTTAAATAGCTGGGCTGGCTGACGCAGGCTGCTGATAGCACGTTTATTTACGCCTGTGAGTGCACGCTCAAGCAGACCTGAAAAACCTGCAGCGTGGGCAGGAGGGAGGCGACTGAAAGCATGCCGAAGTTACATCTCTCCTGGTTATTCAGGTTTGATACTCAGGCGGTGACTTTTGAGAGTTTCGTGAACTTTCTTGCCACTACCTTTTCCTCCTTGTCTTCTTTCTTAGCCAAGTAAGACTCTTTACCAAGATTGGGTGAAAGATGTGGCTGAGAGAAGAAGGGGAAGAGAAACGGGACCCTGGACCCTTTCACCAGCTTCCTTATTTTGAACAGGCTTCCAGTTAGATGTTGCCTCATTTCAAACATAGGTCTGTGCGGTTGATTTCACAGCTTCATGGGCTGGATGCCAAGCGAAAAGCCTGGACGATTGCCCAGTTAATGAAAAGTTGTTTTCTTTTGGGCACAGAAGGTACAAATAAAGAATAGTTCAAGGGGAGATTTGGACTAGGATGATACAATTTTAGGTCCCCTTCAAAATGATTTTCCTTTCTTTCCCCTGCATCTGTATTTTATTCCTGTTTCCCTACCCCTCCTTTTGCTAATGAAATTCCTAAGAGTTGAAAGATTCCCCATGGGAGCTCAAATAGGAAGCCAGTGTGTGAGCAAGCCTGTGGGAAGATGCACACTGAGTGTGAGAGAGCGTGTTCAGTGGCTCGTGTGACCATGGGTGGAAACGTTTCCAAAGGTGAGGGTATGTGTGTGGGTGTGAGGACCTGGCTGGTCGATGTTTATCTTTATTTTATTAGCTAGATACGGCAGTTAATAGTCAATTGTAACATGTTAAGCACATTAAGTGGGTATGATTTTGAGAAGGAATGGAGGCAGGGTTTGGTGAGATCATGTACGGGAGTCTCTGTGTGAATTTGCTGGTATGTAGCACCAACGGGTAAGTGCCACACAGGTATGCATACCCTATATTTTTCACTTCATTGGAGAAAGAAAAAGTCCTCTTGATTTTCTTGAGAACAGTAGCCATATATGAAAGAAGAGCAGCAATTGTTCAGAATATTTCTTTCCTTCTTGGAAAAGTGGGTAATGGTTATAAAACACGTGGGAGAAAGCAGACACAGGGGGCCTGGTCTACCCCAACCCTGGTTACCAGAGGATTTCTCTTGTTTCCTGCCTCATTCATTGGCTAACTTCTGACTGTTCTAGAGCCAACTCTGGCTTCTTGCCTCCCAGATTTCTTCAATGCAGGATCTATGTGTTGTTCATCTTTTGACTCCCATAGTGCCTGGCACAGATTATTCTGATGGTGATGATGATCCAGAAACTAGAGAGACTATGGGCTGGGCTCTATTTAAAGCACTTTACAGAGAGTTTGCTTGCTTATTTAATCCTCACAACAACCTATGTATTAGTTTTTATTACTGTCATTTTACAAATGAGGAAACTGATACTTAGAAAGATTAAATAACCTCCCTAACGTCACAGTAAGTGGTAGAGATGGAATTTGACTCCAGTTCTATTTGATTCCAGAGTCTAGGTTTACACTTACAACTGATTTGAATCAATATTTAGAAAGAATGTTTACACCTATCTTTATTTGTTTACTTGTTTATCATCTGTCTTCCAGAATGGGATTCCCATGACCACAATAACCTCATCTACTTTGTCCACTCTTGTAACCCCAGCACCCATCATAGTGCCTGGCACATAGTAGGTGCTCAATAAGTGTGTGTTATTTGCTCAGTTTCTAAATTCCTTTGGAGGCTCTGCAACCCAACAAACAGAGTGTCTGGCATCAAGAGTCTCATCTTAGTTCAGACACATTTGTTTGTGCTCACATACTGTGTTGGATTCAAGCTATTTCTCTTTATCCAGTGTACCATGGAGATGAAACTAAAAGTGGCTGAAACCATAAAACAGTTTTTACATCACTAAATAACTCTGCAGGTATGTGGTTTCACATTGTTCAGTGGTGAAATGATGTCACCAAGAACCCTAGCTTTTTCTATCTTTCATTTTGTGGCTCTCAGTGTGACAGTGATGTCTCCTCTCATGGTGGCAAGGTGGTTCCGGTAGCTCCATGCATCACATTCTTAAACAAACACATCCAAAGATAGGTAGGAAGGGACATGGGCTTTCTCCTATGTATCTCTCCTTATTAGAAAGGAAAATCTTTTCAGAAATCACTAGCAGACTTCCTCTTATGTCTCCTTGCTGAGAACAGGGTCAAATGGCCACCACATTGGCTAAATCCATCAGTTGCAAAGAGAAAAGGAATCAGGCTGACCATAGTTCATCTCCTGGTCCTGAGGGAAGGATACATCTTCCCTAGACAAATTACTCTGATATCTGAACAAAATCAGGATTTGGTTAACAGAGAAGATGTAGAAAAGTACTTCTAACAATTCTGTCAATCCAGGAAATTCTTTAAATGAAAAATTGCCTTAGTGATATAGTTTTACTATATCAGTTCTCTTTCTGTGCCCTTTTATTTTTTAATGAGAAAAGCTTGCTTTGGCTCTCAACAAAGAAAAAAAAAACTACTTCAACAACCCACAAATAAGAGCAGCAGCTGGCTGCAGTGATTTTTTCCCTAGGGTTTAGATCTCAGGTCTTTATATCACCACTAATTTCCAGGGAGGAGCACACAATTTGTCAGCCTCTTGTTTTCTCCTGTGCCAATTGGGATTATGATGCTTTTGGTTTCTTAGAAATATCTGGTCCAATACTACAACTAATTATAGAAAGATAGCAAAACAGTCTATGAGGGTTTAAGTCTCATTTTTCTGCTTCTCTTGTCTATTATATTTTAGTGGAATTCCATAATCTCACATGTTTGCATACTCTTACTGCCGGGGATATGTAAACTAGAGACATATGTTTAATATAGTGATTCTTGCACAGTTCTTTTCCTCCTGATATTAACAAACTTCAAATGAACACCTGCAAATACATACTTACTTTCCTTCCATTTGCTGTTCTTGACCTTTTCCTTGCAGTGGGCTTCAGGAACTCTTTTCTTCATTGCCACAGATCAAGAGAATTAGGAGGAAGGATGAGACGAGCTAAATACTGGGCTCCACAAGGAAGGATCATACCTGGGACATGGCAGATGCTCGATAAGTGGAAGGATGGTGGAAAGGAAAGAGCGTGGGCTTCTGAATCATGCAGGCTTGGGTTCAAGTCCCACCACCTATGTGATTACCACCTATGTGATTCAGTGCAATTATATCACTTCTCTCAGCCTTAGTTTCCTCGTCTGCAAAACGGGAATAAGGATACTCATCTCACAGGTTTGTTGTAGGGACTAGAGATAATATATGTAAAGCACTTAGCATAGTACCTAGAACATAGCATGTGCTCAATAAATGGTAGCTACTGCTAATAGTTACAACGAGGCCAGATTTTCCTACCTTAGTCACCTTTGTGGAGCCTACATAAAATAGTTAAACCCAAAACCTCCAGGTGAAACAGCAAACAGGGGCATTCGTAGAGCCACATAGAAGGGAGGGATATCTGGATGGCAGGGACAGCTATTCTCTCCCTGCTAACAGCTAGAGATCATTGAAGTGCAGAGAGCTGATTTATGAATAGGGAGTGTGTGGAACCAAGCAATGGTGCAAAAAGAGAGAGAAGCCATTCCTCAGGGGACAGAAACTACCAAAGACATTTAAGAAAATTCACAGTGAAGGATATAAACCTCCCAATAGCAAAAATCTGACCTGCACAAAAGCAAATGAGGAAGAGGGTGGCCTGTCAATAGAAGCATACTTGCTGAAGGTTCTGCCCCAAGGCATGAACTTGCAGACAGGGAGACTGAGAGCTCCAAGGACAGTGTGGAAGTCCTGATTCCCCAAGAGCCCCTCCCGGCTCAACCTGGAAGAGAATGGGAAGGGGAAGAGGATCAGTGATGACAGAGGACAGGACAAAGCAGAGGATGCCAGCGTGCTGAGGAGGGGGACGTCTCCCTGGCTCCTCCTGTATTTCTCAAGTTCCCAGTGATGAGGGAGAGGAAGTTGCAAACTAATCACACTCTGTATTCTTGGTAGTCTGTTGTTGACATAGCAACCATTAAGTCATCCTTTTGGGTTCTTACCTAATGCATCTGTTGTCCTACGGTGTCCTAACTCAGCTGGCAACGACTGGGGGTTAGATGTTTGCACTTCTGTTAAGAATCACGGTCTCTTCTCGTTCAGTTTAGTTTCATCCAGGCTCTAATGAATGAGGAGATAGCAGGCATTGTTTTCCTTCATGATCCCATTCATGGTATTGGTTGGAGGAGGGAAAGCCCTCTGTAATGGGGGGGATCACCCCCTCTGTGGAAGGAGGGAGGAAGAAGGCATCCTTCCTCATCCACAAATGCCCGCGGGCCCGAGAAGCAGCATGGCCAGTTCTCAAGAGCAGCGGGAGTGGTGCCTCCCCTGAGGCTGCCTCTTCCATGAATGATGCGGAGATGTTGCCGGCTGGGGCCTGGTTGTCATCCCCTAACACACGGGCTGAGGAAAGCGAGTCCCCACACCCACTGCTGAAATTTCAGGGATGGGCCCTGTGCTTTTAGAAAGCAGGGGGTGTGGCCCGGCCCGGTGGAGCACTGGAGAGTGCGCCGCTTGGGAGTGCGGTGGTGCTCCCGCTGAGGGTTCGGATCCCATGTGGAGACCGGTTTCTGCTCACTGGCTGAGCGCGGTGCGGGCGCAACACCGAGGGTTGTGATCCCATTACCGTTCAGTAAAAAAGACAAAAAGGAAAAAAAAAAAAAGAAAGCAGGGGGTGGGCCCACCTCTGCCTCGCTCCCCCTCCCACTGCTCCACAACAGCATCTTAGAATTAAAATAATAACAATAATAATTTTTTTTTTTTAAAGCAGGGGGCAGGGAGCTGGGGAAAAGGAAAACAAAATCCTCTGGTAAAAAGCTTGCTTGACTGGGCATCAAACCCAGGCACTGTGGTTCCACAGTTCTGCTCCTAACCCCTGCAGTGTCCTTTGCAGCCACTTCTAACAGGTGTCAGGGAGCCCAAGGCAGGAGAGGAGATGCAGGTGCCATCCCCTCTGCACTAAGTGCCCCCAAACCCAGGTTCTGTCTGTTTAAGACACTTGACTTCTGTGAATGATTTCACTTGGAGACAGACAGGAAATGAAAAGGAGGACTGAGCTAACAAAAATATAAAGTTTGAAGACAAAATCCCCCCACCCCCCAAAAATTGCATGTTGGACATAGTGGAGAAAGAAAAGTTTGAAAATTATTTGGGCTAAAATCGTGGAGCAGCTGAAGGGAGAGGAGGAGTTTTGATTCAAAGCTATAAACCATGTATTTGGTCAGTGTCTAGCTTTCCACCGCAGTCCAGGGAGACATCCAAAAAGAGAAAA